TTATGCGGGGCTGCATTTTTTGCTTCCTTTAAAAAAAAAAAAAAAAAAAAAAAGAAAAAAAAAAGTGTATTTTATTTGCCCACCATGCTTTACAAGTCTGAATGGGAGAAAACTCTCAGCAGACAGCGGCTCCCAGCTGCAAGGTTGCCGAAATCTCAGATGTGGATGTTTTTTTCTGCCATTGGCTGCACCAGTGCTCCGTGGGCATGGGCAAATCCCGGATCCATCCGCCCCACAGGTCTACGTACTGTAGTTCTCATGTAGTGCAGAAATATCGAGGCATGTGGCTTTCTTAAGGTACACTATGTGTGCTTGCCTGGATTACAATACAATACGAGACTGTCTTTTTTTTATTGCTTATTACTAGCTTACCAATAACCTGTATAAGTAATGTAACTCGCATCTTTGTCATCAAAACCTTTTCTCCCCACCCCTTTATTTATCAAGCATAATATTACATATTAAGGGACAGAGAAATAGACCTTCGTAGAATACAGCAGGACATTGCTAACGATGTTTTAAATGGGAAGTAAAAACCGCGCTGAAAAATGCCAGCCATGAGAAATGACGTTGTTGGCACCGTGTTCATGCGCATGTATTTTTTTCTATTTTTTCCGCTTTTGTCATGTTACATCCATATCTGTATTTATATCTTATTTGTTTCACTTTTGAGTGTATCATGGCAATTGTACAGATGTTTTTTGTTAACATTTATGTGATAGAATTTGCTAAAAAAAAAAATTAAAATAAAACCTTTTGAGTTTGCCCTAGAGTAAGTGGAGGTTGCATTTCTTTTGCGGGGAGAAATACTAAAGTAGACTTCTTATCCAGCAGAGCTCCTCACTCCAGCAGCCTTTGCTTGTCAAGGATTTGCTCTGACTCCTGCCCTGGCTGCTGTGTTTTCGTGTGTTAACTAGAAGGTGCATGGTGGGCTGGCTGTTTCCTGCGGGCACTGGTCTGTGAGTGGCAGCGGGGCCAGCGGGCAGCTGATCTTTTGGAGTGCTGAACTTTTGCTGCCAGCTTTTAAAAGCTTTTGGGAAGTCAGGATTTTAAAGGGATTCTTGCGATGTTACAAACTGGAGAGTCATATGCTGTTTGAAAGCTGACGGTCTTGTGCAAAGTCACGTAACTCAAGGAGCAAGGGCTTCAAAAGACACCTGTGTTATGCGGCTTCTTAAGAGAACTGCAGAGGTTTTAAAATATGTGGCAGTAGAAATTTAGGTGATGAAGTGTGTGGGGAGGTGAAGGGGTGCTGGGAACTGCACAGGTCTCAGCCTGGTACCAAAAGACAACTTGAAGTGGCCAGGCGGCCTGAGCGCGCAAGCGCTTGTGGATTATCCTGGGGGAGCTGTAGCTCATCACAACTAAACTGCGGTGAAACTGTGCTCTACACTAGGGAAACAGATCGCCTAAGGGATGACTTTTACCTTGACGCTATACCTTTGGCATCAGACCTCCTCAAACACCTCGTGGCATGTGCGAGGGAGTCAGGAGAGCACGGGAGGTTCAGGTTTCCCATGGGAGGCTTTCAGTATGAATATTCCCAGACAGGAGTACACAGAGAGGGCTGCGGTGCAGGCACAAGCATTCAGGACATGGTGGTTCTGCCCATGCTGGCTAAGGCACTTCTAGTTAAACTGTCTTCTCTCTCCTCTCCTCTCCTGCAAGAGGATTATCTTTATCTGCCCTTTTTACTCTCCAGCTAGTTACTGAGATGGAACGAGCTTGACAGCTTTTGGAGGTGGTTTCAGATGAGCGATATTTTGTTCAGCTGCAGACCCTTCATGGCATCAGCAGTCTCAGGGGTGTCTCCTCTGCCCTGGCCCTCCCGGCTGCCACCGAGCCCTGCCTGTGCCAGCCCAGGGCTCCTTCTGCATCCAGATTTGGGCACCCAGCTGGGAGTGAGCGGCAGTGATTGCTCTCCCTGCTGCAGACAGGCCACCTCACCCCTGCGCTGTCAGGGTCTTTCATGACTCTGCTGCATGTCAGAGCGGTAGGAGGGAAGGTCCCCCT